TTACACCTTGGCCATCACAAACGCTCATTTTCCTCATTAATCACTATCTAAAATTCCTGCTTACTTTTCTTATTTTTAAGATTTTAATCCCTCCTTTGTATGACACCATTCGATCATGTTAATCGTTACATTTTGAGTAAAAATAGATCTTGGAACTTTCTCATGAATGTTGTGTAGCCTAGTTGATAGTGACTGGTTCGAAAAAATATTATTCTTCGCTTCGAAAGTCTTTTCTGTTTGTTTTTCCTACGAACCAACGTGTTCTTAAACCATGCATAGTTTACTAGCCGATAGATAGTGTCAGTGAGGCCTATCAATCCCACCATCGCTACTGGATCTTCAAAGCTGCAAGCTTGAAGTCCTCTCTCACTTCCATATGCGGAGTTCAAAAGATACACCACAAATACAAAATTCTTTGAATAATAATACGTGGATAGACACAGGTCGACTTTGAAAAAAAAACCTTCGACAGGGTTGACCACAAAGTAATTAGGAAACTGTTTCAACGCTATGGAGTGGAGTGCCCAAATCTTTATCCACCAGAGCTGTATAACTGTGTCATATGTCAAGTAATCTACAACGGAAAACTCAGCGAGGCGTTCGAAGTGAATACAGGAGTAATAAAAGCTGGCTGCCTTTCATCACCGATGATATTCCTAATTGTAGTGGAGTGGATTATTCGTCAGACTGTGGGAGGAGTGAGAAGATAGGAATACATTGGACCGCTAAGAAGACTCTGGAATTCGCTGTTGATTTATATCTGTCATATAAACTCGAAAACCTCCATACGAAAACCAAGAAGTTCGCAGAAAAATCAGTTAAGGTAGGTTTTCAAGTGAGGATAGATGAGATAGAGGTGATGAAGATAACCAACCAACAGCAACAAAGACCAGCACCAACGGGAGAATTTAGAAAAAGCTTACTTCCTTCACTTATCTAGGAAGCATCATTCCAACCACAGGCACACTAAACGGATGAAGATAACAAAAGCAGTCAGAATCGCAAAGGCAAGATACGCCTTCATCAATCTGAAATAGGTTTGCAAATCAGCATAAAGAACAAGATTCGGATTTTCAACACATTTGTGAAGTCAGTTTTTCTATATGGGTGAGAAACCTGGCGTTGCCGTCACGACGGGCATTTCCAACAGGTTGGAGACTTTTATCAACAGCTGACTTCGACGGCTCAAATGGTGAGGAAGAATTAGCAACAAGACACTCTGCAGTGGAACGAACCAACCAAGGACCTTCTGCTCAAAACATATGCCAAAGACAAGGAAGATGGATCGGATACATGCTGACGAGACTGTTGGGTGACATTTCGCTCCAAGCCGTCGCTCAAGTGGGACCCGGATGGGAAAAGGGGATTTGGGCGTCCCTTGGAGGATGACATGCAGGAGATTGTGTGAGGAGGAAATGAAAGCTTATGGACAATCTTGTTGCCAGCTAAAGAGGACCGCAGAGAACAGAACAAATTGCAGACTTACTGTTAAAGCCCTTATGTGCAACTGGGAAGTCAATTTCATAATAATGTAATATACCATGAGTTGATCAGACATGTCCGTATACCCAGTTTACTTCTAATTTTGTATTCTCAAACAAACACATGTGAAATTTAACAAAAAAGTCCTTGCAATGTCACTGGTCAGTTTCTCAGGTATGGGAGTGTCTAACTATGTGTGTGTTGATAATTCGCCTATATATATATATATATATATATATATATATATATATATATCTGCAATCATTATTGTACTTATTGTCTGAATGTGTTCGGTGGGTGGCGTTTATATTTTTTTGGCTTAACTATGAAGACAACATTATTATTCCAGACAATCAGCCCCACATGTTTTCAACATGCTGGCTTATATTATTCCTAAATAATGGACATTTTGTCTGATAGTTAATGTAATGAGTGAACTAGAACTTAGACATATTTATTCTTTTAATGACTGAAGGTGAATCGATAGAAACGCTCGCCTAGGAACCTTGGGTTCCGTGCTTTTTGGTACTTGTCAGTATGGTGAATGAATTTAGAACCTCGAAGGGATCGATATCTCTCCCCGGGGATTCGAATCCATATCACTCAGTGTGGTAGTCAAAGGCGTGTTATAAAAAAGTCACTTAAGAGAGTGAGAGAGATTGGAGTCCCTTTGTGACGGTCGGATAGCAGATTACTAGCGTTCCGAGTAAAACATTGGGCTTCCTATGCTTTGAAGTTTCAGTAGCGGTGAGAATCTGCTTGTCTGACGTCCAACCTTATCTTTCCCCAGAGTTAGTAAACTAGGTAAGGTGTAGTAGTGTGCCGGTTGCTGGAAATCGAACACAGCCCTACCACTGGGCTGATTGAGGAACGCAGCTTTGTAGTGGTCTAAGGAGTATGATACCATCATCAACCACAATTCTTCAGTTGGTTTTCTTCCCGAGAAATTTGGATTGGATTAGTCGTTAATTATAAATGCAATCCGTTGTATTTCTCATAGGGTACATTTAAGGAAGTACTTGTCCCTATCGAGAATCTTCCGTAATGAAATTTAGAACAAAGATGAAATCATTTCTGAATGTGAACTATACTGCGTAAGTTATAGGATCTACAGAAATTCACGCATGAAGTTACAATACTCTACTAGATTTCAATCTTATTTGACTGTCTTTCCATGTTGTAATATTATAGGCTGGAATACTAAGACTGTTAGAGATAAACATCACATTAACACAAACCAACATAATCACTTCATTCGACACAATGCAAATCAAAAGACCCAACAGCACAAGAAGACAAGATCAACAAACCATCTACAAAATAAATTCCATGAACTGTGACTCCAAGTCCTAGAACATAAACTAGCCAGTTGTCAGAAGAAACGACATGCATGCCTTCATATCAGTGTATATAAACAACACTATGGACACCACACTGATTGGGAAAATATGTAGAAATTTTACAAACAGTGAAAACACCAAACAAATGTCAGGGGAATTCTTGAAAGCCTGATTGGTACTCAGGCGAATTAGCGATCAAAAGACACTAGTTAATAAGTAATAAGCTACAAGCCGGAAAAGTGAAACTCAAAGCCAATAAAAACCACCAATATTGATACAAATTAATAAGTCACGGCAAAGGTGGTCGCCAGGAGATCACTCATAGAGGAGTTCAAATAAATTCATGCTTCACACATTGACGTTTTCGCTGAAGTGATGCAGTCTAGAATGATGAATATCAGCTGCTTAGCAACTAAACCACAGCCTGGCTGCTCAGAGGACAATGCAACGCCGTAAAATCATGTATCCGACTTACAAATCTTCTTCGATACCCAGCTACTGACACAAACCTAAAGTCCTCCCACTAGCTGATGCTTGAGTACCCAGTAAAAACGCAAGGCTTGAAAAGTTTGAGTCTGGCAACCCCACCCTATAAAAAGGTAAAATAAACACCATTAATGTTACTAAGGCTTCAACAGCTCAAGTCTGAAGCCCTCTATATGTTCTACTAGGAACGCAAGGAATGAAGAGAGAAAATAGTTACGTAGTAATTATAGTTGTTAAGTTACTCAGAACTCCGTTAGGCGGCACCAAGTTATGAGACACAAATATTTATTGTATGAAGACCTACGTGATACCACCTACTCGGTTGCTTAAGCTGACGTAGGTAGAAAGAGATTCGAACCCGCAACCCGTTGGGCTAACACTAGAATGTGCCTAAGTTGATGAGCTGAATCTCCACACCCGACCGATAGCTGCTTCCGTCAAACATAGCGGTGGGGTTGGACTTGCCTGTCGTGGTGGCCGCGCCAACACTGACTGGAATTGATGTTTTTGCATTTCCTCTACCACCACACTTATGTCTTCTGGATAGCGACTAGACACATAAAGCAGTTACCAGCTATCATAGTGTAATTGCTTTACACCATGCTGGGGATCTGTGGACGAGGTCACACTGCTAGAGAATACGGACGTAACACCAGTAAGGCACTTCGCTCAAATGACCATGATGCCTATAAGCTCCGTAGGGGCGTAGAAAAGGTCGACTCCGAAAATCGGTCCGTAGCCAGCTGAAAGATCTTAATACGGATACAACTATAAAAGAACCATTTCAAACAGGCTGTGTGTACAGCCGACGTCGAGTAATTATCCCTCTGGGCTCTGGATCACGTAACACTAGTGCACTCCTGTTTCAGATACCCTCCAAAAAGAAAGCTTCCATGGTTTAGGCAACAGGGAAGAATTAACCGCCTACTCACAATTACATAAGCACACAAGGCTTTCCTCTGATCATTACTCACCTGTCTCCACGAAATATTAGAAGAATATCTAACTACCTGATAGTATTTGATACAAATCTGTAATAAGCTACCCTTTCGTTTGAGAGTCAGAATGTACCAGCCACCAACCTACTTCATTATCGACTGACTTTCCTTTCCTGTACTATAGAAATCAAGAGATACGCCACACGAAATAGTTGTCTCATAGTTTGTGCAATAGCTGGGATACTTCCTGCCCGGACAAGCAGACCGCAGTGGAATGTGGTTTTCTCAAGAGGTTACTCCCCGCCCTCGGGCCTATGACTTAAAACCTGATCCACAATCTAGTGCAATGGAGCAGAGTCCCGATAGCTGCCAGTGACCGAAACAGGTTGATATACCATTCTGCAACCCACGTACACTATAGGGTTTCCGGTTCTGCTAGGTTGACTTGTATTTCCTCCGCCATTCTGACAGCCCTTTCACATTTTTGTGAGGAATACCCATGTTCGCCGTGTCAAGGCAGTAAAGAGGACAACTCACGTGAGCACGTGACCACATGATAGAGGAAGACTGAAGTCTAACCACCACCCTAAGCCGTACCAGGTCATTCTTACACCTAACCTCAATAAATATATTAGTCAGCATATTATCCACTATCATCTAACACACACGAGAGATACAACGCAACCACCCCTGAAATGGTCACAGACACTCCGCAAAAAAAACCAATTAAGACAAAAAACGGCTGTAAAAATCAATGATTTCTTTAATTATATTCATCGATGGGGTGTGTAGAGTATAAAATCAAAGTGGGATGAGATATGTCGACAAGTATATGAAATGTCAATGATGATAATGGGTAGTGAGTAACTGTTAATTTCTAAAAAATATGCATGTTTGTTCTCGCAGTGTTTTATATTATTATTATTTAGAAAACTAATGAAAGCCAGGCAAATATCAGCGTCATACCACCGATAGGCGCTACCCTTGACAAACGATCATCACCGGTCAAGGAGACATAATAACACGAACCAGAGAAGAGTATCGTTCCAACAATGAATAACGTAGCTGACTATAATAAAAGGAGAATGATGAGGAAGATTAAGTGAGGGGATAAAACCGAAATAGGGTAAAAAGACTTACCACTTTAGGATGTTTAAATAACGGGGCATTTAACAAGGCTACGGAATTCACTAAATGATAATAGGCACCGGTTTTAAAGACTTGTCTTTGCTTCTCGTGTTCATCTCCGAAACCTAAAAGGAAGATAAAGAATAAAAAGCTAAACGAATTTTATTATTAAGATTATAGGTTTCCAGGCCGTAGGTGTTACGAACTTCCTGAAATAATTTGAGCGCCGAGTCAGATTGATTCATTATAAATTATTTAAATTAATCCCAGAGTGTTAAGAAAATCAAAACAAGATTTTTCTGAACGTTTCGCTGTGTAAGCCACAGCTTTATTATTATTATTATTATTATTATTATTATTATTTATCGTTACTACTACTAACATTCTTATGCAGCAAACTATGGGCATCAAGAAGACGGGGATAAGTTGAGCCCACAAGAAGGCCTGCACTTCATGTGGATGATTTATGTCTAATGTGTCACAGAAAATTGAAGATTTGCAGGTGAAAACCAACAAGTCGACAGAAGAGGCTATCAACGAAGACAGGATTTTAAGTGAACACAGAGAACACAGAAGTGATAAGGATTTTTTCAACAGCAGGCGGCGTCGCAGATGAAGATGTCAAAGACAGCCAGGATCGGAAAAGCAAGACAGACCTTCATTGATCTAGAATCCTCCTGAAAGTCTCCTGCAGTCAGCATGAAGAACAAGATTTGGATTTTCAACACTAATGTGAAGTCCCTCAGTGTTTCTATATGGTTCAGAGATTTGACCAGGACGTAGCGGAAAGCACTTCCAACAGGCAACCGTAAATATTAAGTCTCCATGCAAAATTTTACCCGAAACAACTTGGATTCAGGAAAAACAAATCAATTCTGGTCATGGATCGATCTCAAAGTTACAGAAGGCTGTTAAAGACCGACAACAAGAAGTACACTTTTTTATTTTTTTTTATTTCTTTACGTTCCCAGTTGAACATAGGGCTTCAAGCTGGAGGTTTGAAGTTTCGGTAGCAGTGGTGTTTCTTTTTACGGAATGAGGTTGCTAGCCTCATACCGAACCTTCCCTCCTTACCACTCTTAGTGAGATAAAGGAGTGCGTCTGCCAGGGATCAAACCCCGGACGACATGCGTGGTCGGCGAGCATTCTACCGCTGTGCCACTGACGCACAGAGAGTACACTGAACAGCTGTTTGTCCTAGTTTGTGACTGGCTCAACAACAATAAGCACCCATAACTCCACTGACACAAATTGAACCGAGGATCCTCAAGTTCCATTGTGAGCTCTTTGGCCATTCAGTAAACGTTAGGACAAGATCCAATAACTAGCTCGTGAATTTCAGCTTCTGCTGATTCACAAGATACATACAGTCACCCACCAATACAAGCCAATTTCATCGATGAGTATTTATCCTGACACACCTGCTCTACTTGGTTGAACCCCACTGGTCACGTCTTCTCACACTAGAACATTTCAGGCAACTTCATCCTGTAATCAGGTAGTCAGTCAGTCAATCGAGCATTAGATTGATTTCTAAGTGTTGGCCTAAAGCGGAGTATATTTGATTGGTTTCAAGTTTGATCACGGATTGATATCAGTCAATCAACCACCACCAGAAAATGTGAGGACATTGGCTGACGGTGGTGGTGCCAAATATCGTGAACTGACAAGAGTTAAAATTCATGTATTGGCGGCCGTTGGATTCTGTCCGAGTGGCGGGATATCAATTCGTGTTCTAACTTGAACAACCACAACAACAACAACAACCGGATCTTCAATACTTATATCGAATCAGTGCTTTCATATGGTTTAGAGAATTGAGGCGTACTTCACTCAAGGTATTACCAATAGGTCACTGCAGACTTTCATCAGCAAGCAACTGCCTCCTTCGCTCCATATCGAAGATCAGATGGCCGACCAGAAAGAATTAGCAGCGAGAAATTCTGACCAGCAACAAATCAACAAAAGGGAATGGAGATAGACGGATTGGACATATGCACTGAGGAGACCACTGAGTGACACTATGCGCCAAGAACTCGAGTGCAGAGTGAGTGACAAGTTGGGGACGTAAGTCCGAGAGTGACATGGATGGAATGATGTTGTTGGGGGTAATTGAAAGTTTATGGGCAGTCGTACAGCTGGATGCAGATGACTGCAGAGAAAAGAATGAAATAGAGACTGCAGGTATATTTATTATCCTCTGATTTGACTAGTAATAATATCTTCCATATTTCTAGTATTTGCGTTGAGTCATTCTGTTGCATGTGAGGGGTGTAGACTCGATGAACAAGGATTCAGTAATCAATCTCTCTCTATCTCACCCTACCTATATTACTTTTTAGAATCTTATCCATAATAGAGATGCTATCTCACTGGTGTTCCCCGCACACCGACTATAAAGTGCAGCTATCCCCAAGAATTGTCGCAGTATTCTCTTCGAATTCAGGGTAACATTAGCATTTATCGTCATATTAAGCACTGGACCGTCGTTTATTTGTTTTCGAGTGAAAACAGTAATCCACCTACATCGATCTAAGAACCAATATTATGAGGGCTTCAAAGCCAAGCTAATAGAAAGACTTACCCAACACCATTCCTTATATTTCAAATAGTATTCTAGTAAAAATGTTTAGCAGAACATTCCTTTCCTGAAGGCTTTTGCGCAAACTATGACATTTAATAAAAGCGTGTTATGGTTCATATGACACGTCGGTAACACCCAAAACTACGAGGTATTACACTATATGACTCTTAACACCCCAGTCTCATATTTACGTTTTAATTACACTTAAATAGTAAAACAATGGTTCCACTTGTCGAATATTAGTCGTTTGGCTGAACGTGATTATCTTGGTAAATCCATCCACATGCTGGTATTACATTTACTGGACTTATTCCTAAATAGTATTTACTGTTTCTACCATGATTCCCTTTGATCAGGGTAGAAGTGAAATATGTTTTACGAATAACACACATGCTCTACATAGTGAAAGTTAATAAACTACTAATTGGATACAATTATGGAGATGGACAACATTGTAAAGGTCTTAATTAAGAACTTTCTACGTACAACACTAACTACAGCACACATATTTTTCTTGTAAAGTGAAAACAACCTGAGAAATCCAACAATTTACATCCACAAGTTTGTTCAATTTCAGATAAACCCTACAAAGTCAATCTGATTAAACTACATGAAACACACTAATTAGTCATATGTTGGTTTGCTTTGTCCTATCACTTCCTTTTGTAACGACAGAAGACAAGGGCCAGGCAACAAGTCGTTTATTGAGAAAATCAAGAGATATTTGTAGATTTTTACGTACATTATTGTCAGCGGGGAAGAAACATCTTCTGATTGGTTGTTTTCTTGCCGAAGGTTATCCTGTACTGCTTGTGATCTTTTCTCAGAAAGTTAAGCCATATACTTGCAAATCGTATTTGCACACGTTAAGTCTGCTGTGATAGGTTGAATTCCTCAAGGTTCAACTGTTTTTTTTCTCATGCCCCCGATTAGGGACATAAACATTGACGTAAATTGTTGTCTACAATTTTGTCTTGCACACAGCTCTCACGACACTTTACTCTTATTCTAGTGATTATCTCAGCAAATGTTCGAAAGTTAATAATTAGTCAACCTTGGAATATTAAGTCAATATTTAAACAATCGTGACACTTACTCTTCCTTAATATCCAGAATCAAATCACAGAAGTCAAGAAAATAATCAACTATGTCAAAACAGTGTGTTAGGTAAAGTTGGTGATTTAAGTGGAGAATCTTTTCGAAGATATTTCTTAGTACTATATGGACTTTTCGTTCTAACTATACTGTGAACATATGCTAAGAATATTAATTTTTGTGAAACGGTAAATACAGTACGAAGAAATCAGATCAACTTTACGATCAATGACTGCGTCGGTGGCACAGCAGTTAGGACGCTCACCGACCCTGCACATGGTCCGGGGTTCAATCCCCGGCCGACGCACTCCTTAACCTCGGTAAGCCAGTAATAAAAAAGCTGGTAAAGAGGAAAGGTTGGGCATGAGCCTCTAGCTTGAAGCCCTATGTTCCACTGCGAACGTGAAGGAATTTTTAAAAAAGACTGAAGGCCTATGCTTCCTACTCAAAACCAAAGGTAATAATAATACTTACCATGGGCACCATAAGCACTAGCTATAACAGCTAAAGCACCAGACAATCCTGCTAGCCGCACAATCATTGATCCTGCACAGATCAATGGTGCTGGGGGTGGAGGTTGAATTTTAGGCAAAGGATTTGACGAACTCGTGAGAAGGCGTTTTACATTACTTCCCACAAAGTTTAAGCTTTCGTTGATATAAGGTATATATACCATCTGGAAAGAAAAATAATAACATTAATAACGAAGTATGAAATTTATTTCAGTATCATACTATAAATTGTTATTTTATTCATGTGATTTCCTGTTTATATATATATATATATAATTCCTTTTGCGTTCCCAGTGGAATATAGGGCTTCAAGATTGAGTTATGAACTCCCAGTAGCAGTGGTGTTTTTCTGCAGGGTAGGGTTGCCAACTTCACACCCAACCTTTCGTCTTTATCAGATTTACAACCAGCTAGGAGAGGTAAGGATGTGAACCGGCCGGGAGTCGAACCTCGGATTATGTGCATGGTTGGCGAGCATTCTATTATATATATATATATATATTCTACGTCTGACCGTATTGATCAGATTCCGTTTCAGAATGTCCATCTCATGACCCCAGTCATGAGATTCCTTGTAACAGCACTACTGTGAAAGTGTTTGTTTCTTTGAGATGTAGGTTAAAAAAGAAGGATAACTGTCAACTTTTGATCTACCGCCTTCCGTGACAAGTACTTTTAGATGACATAAGATTAAGTCAGGAAAGGACTAGCATAATCAGACGAAGAGATGGCACCAATCGATGAATTCTTTGACAGTTGATTTGAGATAGCCACTAAGGGTAATGTGGACTATCTGGATGGTTGAGATCCTCGGAATTTTAAGAACCAATGGCTTCAGTCAGTTACTGATGAGTTGGAACCATCCTCAATGGCTCACATGCATTCACCCTTGGTAGTCTCCCATATTCACTAAACCGTCATGTTTTTCCATGTTACTATTCTTGCTCCCGCATATTTCTGCTCAATACGGTTCTTTTCAATAGCTTTTCTCTCTTTTGTCCACCTTTGTGTGTTACACGGTATAAGGCAACTTGAACTAGTGCACTTCTGTGTAAAGTTTCATAGTGAAACCCACTTATTGGCTGATTGCATTAATTAGCTACCGCTTGAACGCTTTGACATTTGAAGTGATTGGTACTGGAGTTCGAGTTTCATTAAGGAGACAGTACATCTGGAGTGACTGATTTTCAACATAGAACTCCTAGAAATGCAGCAGCACTGGTTGCAATACTCCATGTAGCACAAGAAGACAGAGAAACATGTTCAAAATGACTATAATGAAGAGAAATGTACAGGAGAAAGAATAACTACACAGAAAAACACGAGGATTAAATGGATCTTAGAGATTACAGAAATAGTGAATGCAACTGCACCACTGAGGCCGATTTTAAGCCAGATTACCAGTCATTGGTTTTTACCATCCCAACGACCTCGACCAGGAAGTCTACACCTTCCTACGTGACTTAAACTAACTATTATGGATTTCTTTGACTGATGAAACCACGTTTTCGTTTGACCACCACTGGCTCTTTTCCATCCTCATCAATCCTATGTCAGCTAACATTCCCTCCTGTCGAGGAAAGTGATGGCTAGGCATGCGTAACACATCATTGATACAAGAATAAAACTTGTGCACTGTGGTAGAGTGTAATTCCATTATGGGTAAATTTTTATTTTTATAGTCTCACAGTGTTATACAGTAATATTTACTGTAAATATTCAGTAAATATTACTGTATAACACTGTGAGACTCTATCAAAATAAAAATTTACCCATAATGGAATGCGTAACACATGTTCTAAACATCTCAGTCGATATAGCTTCACAGCCTCGTCAATCGATTTCCCCTCCTTACCTAGCACTCGACCGATGCATAACCTCTATTTCTCACCTTATTATACCACTTCACCCATGAGACAGAATGCAGGCACCTATGATCAAAGACAATTAGCCGGGCTTTTCATGTTCTCCACTCTCAATGGCCATGTCTCACTCACGGCCATAAAGGACGACGGAGCGGACTGCTGAGCAGTACACACGCTCTTTAATCGACAGTCAACCGGATATCACGTCTACTAAGCCAGAGACGGCGTAAACTGGCATATGCCAAACGGGCCTTCTGTATCCGTGCTGAGATTTCGTCAGCGATCAACCCATTGGGGCTGATGGTACTTCCCAAGTAAGTGTAGCGGTCAACGTGTTCTGCCACTTCACTTCCTATTTCTAATCTAGGGGTCGATGAAGTCCAATCCTGCAGCATCATCTTACATTTTACAGGGGCGAATCGCATGCCAAACATACGAAGATTGTTGCTCAGGGTGTTCAGTAGACTCTGCATTTTGTCAGCGTCCTCGCCTAGTAAGACTATATCGTCTGCATATTCTAAGTCAACGAGATTATTCACTGGTAGCAAGTCAATCCCTGAGTCTCTGAAGTGAGTTAGGGTTAAGTCCATTAGTACGTCTATGATGAAATTGAACAGAAATGGGGATAATGGGCATCCTTGACGGACGCCACTAGTCGTCACCACTTCAGATGACAACTCGCCGTAAGCCCTCACCTGGCTGCATGAGTACGAGTAGAGTGCCTTAATCAGTGCAATGTATTTTCTTGGCATTTCCTTTACAGCCAAGCATCGCCAGAGAACCTCTCGGTCGACAGAATCGAATGCCGCCTTTAGGTCAAGAAATATGACGATTGTTGGACGTCGGTAAGTATGCCTATGTTCCAGAATCTGTCGAAGAGTGAAGATATGATCAATACTCCCTCTTCCTGGTCTAAAGCCTGCCTGGTTCTCTCGTGTTTGTGCCTCCTGTGGACCGCTTAGTCTACGTATGATTATTGAGCCTAGAACTTTAGATACCATATTAGTCGAGCTAATCGCCCTGTGATTATCACAGGAAGACTTGTCTCACGTCTTGTATATGGGGATTATCAATGACTTACATCAACCTGATGGGACTTCCTCTGATTCCCAGACGCGGCTTAGTACCTTAATTAACGCAGACTGGCTGACTCAATCCAACAGTTAAGGACGTAATGGATTAATTCCATCTTTTGATCTAACCACCTCCAACCTTCCATATTAATTTGTTTGTTAGATATATCACACAGTGAAACAGTATTATTTATTCAGTAAACATTATCCAGACAAACCCGTTTGTTGGTTAGTTAAAATTGATTTCACCCTGTACCCGGCTCCGGGGAACACACTGGGTGGTCAAGGGCTGATAACACTACCCTGATGATCCCAGGATTCGAATCCGAAGTCTGCTGGTCGAAAATTAAGTAATTAAACCGATAAGTCACATATCACAGACACTAGGTCGGATCGGCCAAGAGGCCTTCTAAGACGCCAGACTCAAGGAAGGAATCACACTAACGAGCAACTTATATCACGAAAACTGGAATTCCTCTAGTGAGATGATTCTGGAAACTAACAACTTGAAACACTGAATTTTGGCAGTGTGGGAATCACATTATCTAACTGCTATCAACTTTTTAAAAGCGAAGTCGTGTTTTCAATCTCTGATCCACCAGTTCAAACTAATGACCATAGTCAAATATGCCTTATTCTCAATAGATAGTCTGATAAAATAATAAATTTAAGTATAACTTAAAATTAAATTATATTGTTGTATGATGTCACAGACGAGAGATTCATCTTAGAACAGAAGATTCTATCTATGGGATGCGAACTCGTGACGCTGCACAGTCAGCACTGACAAGAGTTCACAACCAAAAGTCCAAGCTCGAGTGTCATAGGTAATGTTAACCAACATGGAAATGTGGCTTGTTGGCCTAAGCAGTTGGCTTTTAGTCAGTGCATCCCGAGTTTGAGTTCCACTTTGCTTACTTCAGCCTAGGTAACCGAGTATCACCATCAGTCATTGAGCAATATGAATGTTCAATCCTCCATGTTATATGATATAACAAAGTGAATAATCTTTAGGAGGAGAGGTGACTTCATTTTATCATACCGTAAATTTAAGGGGGGACTGATTGTTGTCTTCTCTAAACTTTCTCCTCCTAGGATGAGGTCGTCAAACAACGGTGATAAAATATGAATGTAATTCAAATTTTCCTATATGGTGGTTAACGACTGGAACTCCTTACCTGCGATCAAGTAATATCAACTTCATCAATGAATGTTTGCAAAGAGAAATAAATATTTGACTAGTCAGGTCTCTACAGAAGTATATATATATATATTGATAAGGGCCGGGAGAGCTTAATATCCTTAATTATCTGAATCTGAATCAGAACAATGAATGACTTTAGAAGCCCTGCAGAAACTTTGGAACAAACTTAGAGCACTTTACAACCAGTGACCCAACATCCAAAGACCTAATGTGCACTCGACGTTACCGCAGTGAATCTGAAACACTTACTAACTCAGACTCTCAAAACACTACATCAAAAGTATAGATTAGGTGCGGCTATATCCATACAAATAAATCGAAACCCTTACTAGGAAATTCAACAGACAACCCACCTAAGTGGTTGGTTGTAGCCTTGTTATCAATACGGGTTATATAGGCTGAATAATAAAATACTACGTAAAAATTTAAAAGCAACCTTACCAAGTTATAAGAAAATGAGTAAAACCAATTCTTGACCGAAAGGTTTGCTACTATACCCGATAGGTTAGCGCAAACTAAACTGCAACTGAGACTTTAGTTCGTAAGACCAGTATTGTATTACTACTTTTCAACGAAACGCAAATCGAAAGGAAAGAGAATATGGAAAACCTCAAGTCCACTTAACAATGTGAACGCAGTCAACTGAGTTATATAAATACAACTGAAGCTGCCTGCTCACTGTTACGCGACCTTTGGAAAATGCACCCACCTTTCAATGTTCAACATCTAATAAATTTTATGTTTTCGTACTTGTCCAGATTTTCTGCAAGCTCTAGGTCATTCCTCCATAACTGTTGCACATTTGCTAAGGTAAATATATGTTTCATATCACTGCAGCGGAGTCTTTGAGACACTGAAATTTTGTTTTACTAGTCAACCCTTCAACAGGTTAAAAAATCCTTCTGAGAGAGGAATTTTAGGAAATTGAAAAGGGAAATGAAAGGATCTGTTTATCAAACAAATTGAAGGTGAAGCGAGAATTCTATACACACAACAAGAAAAAGGAGGTAAAGAACAAGAATCGAACAGTAAAAAAGAGGAAAATTTGAAGTGGAATTGTGAAGTAGATTGATAAAATAGGACGGACAATTGTTTTGCCGGTACAGCCCAGTATAATTAGGCTGCTTCTTACTTGGGTGAATACGAAATGTGATGATATTTAATTCAAATCATTTGCTTGATAATGAGTCTTGTGACTTAAAGGGCACACACAAACGGAGGGAATATTCTGGGCTGTCAGCATACTACCTACAAGCTGTAATATTAACGTACCTCGTACGTCATATCCTAATAATACGAAACCTACCCATATTCACATAATCTAGGTAGGAAACCCACGTTTCAAATGTGAAAGAGACACTGTGGAAACCATTCACATGGTGGGAACGATGGATCAAGCAACTCTGCAGCTTTTCAGTACACGGCAGCATTAAGTAGACTACATTTCTTCCCACTGTCATATCTATGGTCAAGGGCTGAGTTCATATCAGCACTCCGTTTTTCACTTAGCGTCCTAGGTGTTAAATCGTTTTTCTAATTCCTTCACCGCATAATTGTCTGAATACGAGTCCATCTCATGAAAATTTTAGATAAAGGAGGCTGAATAGAAAGAATTTATTGATAAGTCTTCGTACAGGAAGACCATAAGTCATATTAATATATGTGTAAAACTTGGGCACTGTGGTAGTAAGTAATTCCATATTAGTTTGTTTATTTGATATATCACACAGTGAAACAGTATTATTTACTGGATGACGTTTCGAACAAAATTTATTGTTCGTAATCATATCAATTATATAATTATAATCAATTATATAATTATAATTGATATGATTATGAACAATAAATTTTGTTCGAAACGTCATCCAGTAAATAATACTGTTTCACTGTGTGATATATCAAATAAACAGACTAATATGAATAGAGAGAAGATTATCACATAATCACGCTGAAAGCATTCATATTAGAGTGTGCCTTAATAGGACTACCGTAATCCAAGTTAATTTATTCCTTTCATGATACCACCTGAATGGGATTTCCCTATTGGGAGATTCTGTTGGACCTCTGCCCCACTCACTCAAAGGGTTTCCTCCTGGGTGCCCTAGCGGTGGCATGTCTGAATTAGTGTGACTTTAGCTACTCACTTTTCCACAGTTCACCATCAAGTCACAGTTCTACAGCAGTTGGGCACGTGAAGGTCTAGTTGTTGAAGTCTGTCACCAAACGCTCAGTGGGCACGGATTCCTGAGACTGGTCCGACTTCCGGTCATCTGTCTCCTCAACTTTCCACAATGTGTGGAATCTCTAAGGCAATGCATAAGTTGTACTTTGACTTCCTCCGCTTGTTCGAGGCTCCTCCTTTGGCCATGAGGAAGCATTCTTTATTACTTTTTGTGATTCCATTCTCGCTGATCTCCTTTATTGTGGTGACAATCAGTGATCGTTCATGTTACAAAGCCTTTTATGTTTCTGGCCGTTCGGATGTAATAAATAATAGAGAAATTCAGAAGGACTGAACAAGCAACCATTTAGGAACTATGTCTGCTTTATCATTTGTAAGTCTTTCTTCCTCTACCGAATGATGAATGCCATCCGTGTGTCCGGATGATATTCTCCGCTTCTTTTGCCAGCTGCCACGCCTTCTAATATAAAGGTTCATGAGCATCACTAGTCTTCTACAGTGTTACACGTCGAGTTATTATTTCTGTAGAAAAGCCTGTTTCCAGGTTGATGGTCCTGTTTCGTTCCCATTTCGCCTTCTGATTTGTTATAATTGACTACGGTCTATATTTCTATTTGGTTTTTGGCTCTTTTTCGGATAATGTTTTGATTTTTTTTACCGACAAACATAGAAAATTACTTTGAAACTTCTTCTGAGGAATTGTATTCCTTGGTAACTAACAAAGGTAGGTCACCTAAATTTGATCGACATGGCTCGGAAATGCGGTTTTCTCAAGTGGAAGACTGCCTTAACATGTTTATCGTTGAGTCTGAAACCATCAGGTAAAGGGCGAGGGTATAGGCTATGACGGTTTAATTGCTCCGCGCCTCAGGTTTTCTCGTCTTTCATTGGCTGGAACAGTGGCGGTAAGTTTATATTTGACTTTGGTAGGTAGGTGATGTCGTGTGCAGCCCTGTGTGCTTGCGTCGTGCATTGTTTCTAAGCAGATTTGATGAATGTAATTGTAAACCTAGACTTATAAAACGTGTTTTTCTTTTTTTTGTGCATGTACAAGGCTTGGTTTGTCATACACTCGGTTGTTTGGCCTGCGGTTGCCTGCGATATCAACGAACCCGTGGGTTTTTGTGCTTTTCTAAAATTTATTGTTTCGTGCGGTATATCTTGATGGATATTGATCAGTCATGCATTTGAATATTGCTTTGTTTACTGAATTATCTTGAAATAGTTGTGACATAGATGGATGCTAATTGACAAAGCCTTTTTTGAAGTTCACAGCAGGTAGTCAATGCGACAGAAAGCAGTGCAGACGTTAGTGGAATTTTTGGTGAAGTAATGCTTGGAAGGCGTTGCTTCAGCTGGGAGGAATTTGAGAAAGCATTAGAAGAATTTCAAAAAGTGAGGAAGTTATTTAATGCTAACAATGTAGTTGTCCTGCACTCACTACGTCCGTATTCAGAGCAAAAGAATAGCGGATGATATATTCAAGTACGCCTGTGTTGGTTTTAAATGTACTTTTGGAGTGCATCTTGTAAGGCCTGGCTTAAAATTGAGAAACAAGTCGTAAGAAGAATTATACTATGGTATTATGAATATTTAAGGTCTAAATGTTGCAATTGTCCTTCTTCGATTCGGGTGGTTTTGCATAGTAGTGAATACGTAATTACTGCTCACAAAATGGTGCATAACCATCCATGCGATAGGGTGTACATGCAGAATGACCCCTGGTATAGACGACTAACAGTAGAAGAGAAAGAAAACTTGGAACTCCTTCTTCAGCAATCGCACTCATCCGATGAAATGATTGCGCATGTTAAGGAAAAATTCCGCAAGGATATAACTCGTAGTGACGTTAAAAATATGAAAGCCCTAGTTAATAAAGGTAACTTAGACGTAATTGTTATTTACTTAAGGTATGTCGAGCCGTCGTGACATTTTTGATTTCCTGAAATGCCGTGGGAAGTTAATGGAGTATTACTCAGATGAACCTACGAGGAATTCACTAACAAGAGTCTGCTTTTCAACTAATGAGCAAATCCAGTTGTATAAACAGTTCCCGGAGGTTGTCGGTATTGACTCTACATATAATACAAATAAAGGGAAGTAAGTTTACCAATTCATTAATCAACATGCAGGTATTCATTGTTCCAATTAGTTGTGACGGATAATTTTGGTCGTGGGCGACCAGTGTTATTTACTTGGACTCGAAAGGAATTCAAGCGTGATGTAGTCTGGATTTTGGACTCATTTAGTCAAATAATGGAAGATACATCTAAAACTGAGACATTTATTATGGGCTGTGCGCAATGTGAAGTTAACGCACAGGCAAGCGCACATTGTGCTCTGTTCTTTCCATGTTTGTCGTGCATTCAGTCGTAAAGTAAATTTTTTTTAGCACATTAAAAATTTTAATTGCAGACACGGAATCCCATTGTTAAGAACTATTTATGTCGCTTAGTTCAGTGTAAAAGTAGATCAGAGTAATGCCTGTAATATTTTCATTTTCCAGATTTAATTTCTATTTTAGAGTTATAAACAGATTGGATGTTCGTGTCAGTCAATATATACAGCGTCGTTGGATGAGTAGACGAGAATTGTGGGCAGCAGCTTTCAGAGATCACGTGCTGACTTATGGTAATGCTACTAATAATCGAGTAGAAAGTTCACACAGGCAAGTGAAGCGGTACTTGCAAAGGTCAGACAGTCTGCAGAAAAGCATGCTGAAGGTTTATAAATGGTGTCAACGAAGTTATTCCAGAATTCAGCAGGAGTCGATGATTGCTCGGTCGCGATGCCTCACGTATTCATGTTCACAACGTTTAATACCAATCCTTCGACTGCTGACGCCATACGCTGCCAGAAAAGTGATCCTTGAATATGAAAAGCGGCGATGGGCTTTGGTGGAGGTTGAAACTTCCGATTACGTCTTCTTCCAAGACCATGGGAGGAGAGTAGAGGTTGATCTGCGTGCTTGTACACGCACTTGTTTGACGTTTCAGACATGTCGGTACCCCTGCCGACACTTGCTGTTGGTCCATTTCAGAAAGCCGTGTAAACACTGGACGTGGTCACGCGACTCTTGCACATCTCAAAGCATTTCCGCAGTTGTCCCTCGAAATCCGTGTAACATAGTGCAAATCAAACGGAGGCTTATTAATGAGCGCCTGATAAGAATTACTGACAAATTTGGAGAGGTGTTTGCCGCGAACGTCGCAGGAGAATTTATCGCACATATGGACCGTCTTCTTAATATGTAAACAAACTAATGTTGTATTATAATAAATGTGAACTTTTCACATAAATCTTGTTGTCTTTCAATTAATGCGTTCGCTTTGTGAGCACGGCATGCTAGACCGGTGCTCTGTAGGACTTGAACTCGTTACTATACTTAAGTGTAATTCTGCAGAAACACTATCGACCGATATACGTGGTGAATTATAAGTAGTTTAGTGGACCTTAAGTCTCTGTCTACAGTTACGTGAAGACTTCTCATAGTCATATGCAAGCATGTAGGGAAGAATGACAACATTA